ACTCAATGCTTAGATTTTAAGATACTTTCAATGGATTATCAAATTCAAAATGCACAGTTATGTTCGATTGATGCAAAAACGTATAAATTTCCAACAAAAGTTCCGTTTGCCACAAAGCTCACCTGAGTTACTTTAGCCCTTCTGTTCTTCAATTAAAAAATATATATATATATTCTCTTGAACAATTATGACCTATTTTACCGCCCCCAACTTACATGTTATTCTAAGATGTGTCTAAGTTCACACACCATGGGGGTGCTTCAGTATCACTGTAAGAGATATGAGAGAATTTTTTTTCCTAAATGCTTGTTCTCTGTAAAATTAAATCTTATATATATATACATACCAAATTATTTCACACATATCGTTTGGATCCATCACTGATAATCATCAGAAATCTTTGAATGTCTAATATGTGTCGTCTAATTAATTCCTTTTTCTCGATAGTGCTGTCACTCGCAAAAAATATTATAAAACTAATAAACTTTTCTCAAGTTTAGGACGATTTTTCCTTATCATTAGTTCCTTACATCTTTGCTGCATAACTATATTATATGTAATGGGACAAAGAATCGTCTTTACACATTGACCTCAGCTGCTATCTCAAGGTACAGATAAAATAAATCACTCGTGATCTAATGCTTAATCGGCCGATAAGAATAACGTGAGAAAAGCAAACAAATCTAAAATGTTAATGTAAACTTCGATAATTATCATTCAGATTATTTAATTGTGGAATGAAGGTATTATACACATATTATTTTGTCATTTTTGCATATTTCCTTAAAAGCTTGTAAAAAATACGAATATTGAGTAATAAGGCACACTTTATATGCTTCTATAATAAGCTTTTAATGAAATTCATCAACACGAAGTTCGAATATGTCTGTCTTAAACAAATAGTGCATGGAGTGTCACCCATATGTGCAATTGTATGTAGATTACCAAAACGTTTATAATTAATATACACGAACAACTAACTTGGTTTTCAATTTTGACAACAACAATATAATTGGTAATAATGGGCAAAGTTTCATCATAATCGGTGAACATACTTTCCAAAAATGATTTAGTGGTTACTGAGAATAGCTTTTTAAAAAATCATGGTTTATCAACAACATGGATGGTGATGTGAATTTTATAGTATAAAATGTGCTAAAAGCAAACTACGACTTTTAGCTGACCTGAGCCGAAGGCTCAAGTGAGCTTTTCTGATCGAAGAGTGTCCGGCATCCATCTGTCGTCCGTTGTCTGTCGTCTGTAAAATTTTCACATTTTCGATTTCTTGTCAAGAACTACTGGACAATTTTCAACCAAGCTTGTCACAAAGCATTATTGGGTGAAGGGGATTAAAGTTTGATGCAGAAAGTGCCACGCCCTCTTTCAAGGGGAGATAATTGAGAATTCGTGAAAATTTGGTTGAGCCACAACAGGGGGTCAAAGTTTACCATATACATAGGACATGTCTTTAAAAATCTTCTTTTCAAGAACAGCTAAGCCATTATTAGTCATATTAATAAAGAAATATTCTTAGGTAGTGTGGATTAAAGTTTGTTCACATCATGGCCCCCAGGCGTAGGGCGGGGCCAAAACAGTGGGTCAAAGTTTTATATACATGGTTAAGGTGCATTTGAATAAAACGCAGTGAAGACTCAAATAATGGAATGGCCTGACAACTCTTGTAATGGACTAACCAAACCAAAGGGTATATAAGGAAACCTTTGGGAAAGTCAGGCATTCAGAAGCTAGCTGAAGAAGCTGGATGTTGAATCATCAGTAAAGAAGGTAAGGTATTCCATCCCTAATATCAACAGATTCAATGCAATTGAAAACATAACAGAGGTGTGGGTGTTGAATACTCAGTATATTTAGACATAATTCCCATTTATAACTGATACAGGGTGAATTATAACTAATTAATTAATATACTAATTATTATTTATATCATTTTTATACATTTTTATGAGGCATTATATTATTATAGTAACGAGTGACTTTCCTTCTCCCTCGGAATTTACTCCTTTCATTCGTTGCCTTTTCATTCATTCATTTATACGGGTGAGTGGTCAGTGAGAGGACGGGTGTGTGAGTGGTCTAACTGGTTTTTCTATGTCCCCTGCGCATTCGCGCCAATACTACATCTCGGGCACTCCAACCTTAGACTTTTGGGAGAGAAGACGCTCTCTCTCACCAACACAAATTTATCTTGCGATAATTGTGACATTCTGTCTAGGATTTACGGTAAGAAATAATTGCTAAACTATTTCTAAAGATTCAATGTCTATTTGATCATTTTATTTAAATCAAGTATTTTATAAATCCTTCAGATTTAAAAATTTAAATTACGATCCGCGTAAAAGTGTGAGTGAGGTGAGAAATATTAAATACCTGCTATTATATTTCAGGTTACTCTTTTTTCTGTATATTTTCCATAAACGTAGAATACATTATTCATACATCGATCCCAGCAGTCATGTTGTGTTTTATTTCTTCAACAATATAACTTACCATTTATACAAGGCTGTTACAATGGCCCCCACGTTGATTAATATTTTTTACGCGGGAATGTTCATTATTTTATATACATGATAAAGGGTGATTCGTTTTTATACCATCGTTGGAGTTCTTCATTTGTTCAACATTTTTAAAATTTTTCCTTCGACTGATGTTATTTAATGCTACGAATTCAACTGTACCTTCATCTTTTCATCTGACGCGCTGAAGCGGAACTGAACACTGGTCATCAAACTTATGTTTCAATACTTCATCGTGCGTGACTTATACAGCTGTAATTATATATATATATATATATATATATATATATATATATATATATATATATATATATATATATATATATATATATATATATATTTATATATATATATATATATATCAATAGGCCTTCACCGCTGGAATGACTTTCTCATTTGTGTGCAATCCAGGATTGCACATTTTTCAGGGACTGGGACTTTTTCATAATTATTTACTTTACATATTTATTTTGTTGACTGTTAATTTTCATTTCATGTATTTCTGTCATTGTTTTCATTCATGTATACACGTGTGTGAAGTGCGTACAGGTAAAAGTGTAAAACTTAAATAAATATTAATTTAATGCAGTTCAAATTTAGTACACACTCAAGTGTCATTACAATTAAATTAGTGAAAAAATATTATTTATATAGAGGAAAATAATACAGACATGATTTTAAACACGTTTATCATGATATTGGCGATTGTTGGTCGTGGCATTTTTAAAAGCAGAAAGTGATCACCAAGCGTGAAGAGCGACCCCAAATTACAACTAGCAGCATAAATATGGCCTTTTTGGGTATACCGCGAACGATATTTAACCTTACAATTATATTTTATGTATTTTACAGAAACTTTACATGTATGTAGAGTTATCGTTCCGGGTTAACCGCGAACTTACTCAACATAATTTAGCAAGCAGAGCAATGCATGCATTTGTTGAAAGCAGCACGCATTTTGCACAGTACCTGAGTTGGTTTTAAGCAAGCAAACCAGACCAGTTCATGAATTTGTTGAAAGCAGAACATTTTCAAAGTAAATAAGTTTGTTTTAAGCAGCAGCAGCACAATGAATTATATCATCACTTGAATGGCTCGGCGCAAACGCCACATGGCCGAAACCTTTCGAAACCACAGGTTTCGGTCATCCAATAAAATAAGGAAGCCGCATTCAACTGACCCACGACCAACAGCCCTTAATTTATCTTATTTACTGGGTGAAACTTACTTAAACACTTACTCCAGACTTCCCCCTTTTTTATTCAAGATATTAAAGATATTAAATATAGACAGAACATATGTGTTATTTCCTTATTGAAGGTTTACTATGCAAGTTTTATGAGGAATTATATATATATATATATATATATATATATATATATATATATATATATATATATATATATATATATATATATATATATATATATATATATATATACAGAGAGAGAGAGAGAGAGAGAGAGAGAGAGAGAGAGATCTTATGAGAGATTTATATATTTACTTGACGGAACTGCACTTTCTTCAACATCTCTGCTTCCCGTGTGTCATTTGCAGTAGCATGAAAACCTTACGAGGAAACCAAATACAAGGTAAATCTAAAATGTAATGAGCATTCGTAACCAATTGCGATTGGATGGGAAACATTATAGCAAACAATAGTTTACTACAGTTAAACTATACAGTATAGTTTAAGTACGTTTTTATTTATACATTGGCATGCTTATCAAGAAATAAATCCTTTTCAATTTTGTGATTTTTTTCCAAGAACATTTTGGAATAAAATGTGAAGAGAGCTTTTTTGATGCTGCATCTAATAGTAAGATCTCTGTTTTTTTTTTTTAAACAAGTGGGCTCTCTGGGAACCAGAGAAACCCCAAAACTGTCAAAATCAGATATGGAACGTACCGCCGAAATATAGCTGAAATATTTCCGAATCGATATTATACAAAAACATTCAATCAATCAATCTTATAATAAGATAAAAATACTAAATAAAAATGCATAAATATGCATCTCTTTTTCATTTATCCTAGAAATCGGGTTGAAATAAATAATACCTTTGTAGTAAAATGGATAAGGACTATATATGATAAGAGTCAATTTTGACCCCAAAAATCAGCATTTTAGAATGTGATTCAGATATGTATAATTGTTTTTTTATTTGTAGAAGAGATTATATTAGAGATATTTCCAATATATTTTTAACATTTAAATGCACTCACAGGCTGTAAATGACGTCAGAAATGATGCTTTTTTTCAATCCAATCAAAATAAGACAAAAGTGTGCCTTTTTGTATGGGAAACATAGAGCGCAGCTTAGAACATGCACAATTTTTCTGTCAGTAATTAGTTTTGGATAGATACATCTTTGGTAAAAATATAAAGTTTGTTCTAGTTTGCGCTCAATATTTTCTGGAAGAAAAACTACATGAAAATAAGCATTTTTATACAAAATATACTAAAATGGCGGGAGAAGGTGAACTTTACGATGTCATATTTCTAAATTAACAGCATTTTTGATTAAATTTAAAATTACAAATAAAGGTCTCATGTATAGCTTTGCAATGTCAAGCTATATATAAAGTAAAATTAAGATATTAATTTTAAGAGGCCATTTAAGACACTTATCATATATTGTCCTTTCTAAGTTGCGTTTTGCTGACAAAAAGACACGTATCAATTTTAGTCAATCAATTTTAAGGCACAAATATTTTAAAATTGGATTTTAAAGTTATCAAGTATGTATTTATATATCAGAAAAATAAACCGTTGCATGAAGGAAAAAGTAGACAAGACAGGTTACTTACGAGGGGTGATCAAAAAGTTTGCGAACTAATTGAATTATACTTCCTTGAAAGAAATAAAATGAGGTTTCAGTGTTTATTATATTTTAAAGTAGCCCTCTCCAATTTTAATGCACATCTGCCATTGGTTTGCCCATGCGCGAATCACGTGATCCAGGCAGTCACGTGACATGCTCCGTAGTAGTCTGTTCAGAGAAGCTAAAAGATTTTTCCGAGTCTTGTGTTTCTTACCATGCAAGTTTTTTTTTTTTTTTTTATAACAAGAACAGTCCAGAAGTGTCCAAATCTCGGCAATAGGATGGGTGGATTATGATAACACTTCCCACAATTAGTGTGGTGACCCATCACAACCCGAGTCTTCTGTCTCGGTAGAGTCGTTTATCCAATGTGGATAAAGTATGGGCGCCTTCTTTTCATCATATCTCATATGTTTAAAGTCTAAAATAAGCGATATTTTAGGGATTTAATAATTATATTATTGTTAAGATATTCCACCATTTTTCTAATTTAAACTTGACGACGTTTCATAACAAATTGCTCAATTAAGGACACATCTTTTCTCCGACTTGCTTCCGCTGGGCAACAGAACAAACATCATATTTAACCATCTCCCTGTCTTCACTTAACCAATCAATCCAATTAATGATTGAACTTCTGGTAAGTCTTTTGTCTTCATAACCTTGTACAAATTATCATTTTCTACTGCAAAGGAATTTCCAAGATATACGTTAAACTTTACAGCCGTTCGTTGCTCGAGTACGACTGAGTCAACCATTTTTTGTCACAAGTCACCTACATATTGACGTCATTTTCACATTGTGACGTCACAAACACGGAGCAAAACATTATTTAACATCTGTTATTTATAGAACATGTGCATGACTATATGTGTGTCAAATTTCATTCTGATCTGAATTGTGGTTTTGTAAATATAGAGATTGTTCGCGAACTTTTTGATCACCCCTCGTACACAGAAAAAAGATGTATTGGTATTGCATCGTGTCCCTTGGGCTTGAAAACAATTGATGAAAAGCCAAGCGTACGATAGCTACCTACATACAATATGCTCTAAAATAGAAATAGGATATTATAACAAAGTGTTTGCAAAATTTATAAAATAGAATGCCTGTAAAAAAAAAAATGGATGACTTAAAGTGTTTATTTAAAAAAAATGCACGTTGTCAATAAGTGGTATGATGTTTCTAAATGTAAAACATCTCTTTTTTGATATTGCTCAACATATTTCAAAAATAGCATTTCATGACAAAATTGTCCTTTGAACACTGACAACATATGGACACTTGATCGAGTTTGAAGTACACAAGTATAGAGTAGGTTTTAAGTAAACATTTGAAACTCTTTTTACTGTATAATTGAATTTATATACAGTACATATTACTAGTATTTCTCTTACGATTGAAATTATAGCTCAATAAAAATCGGTTAAATTTACCCTGCCCTGTTTATTCTATTATTTTCAACACTCTTTGTCAGCGAATTATTTATAAGGCACTTTCTAGTGTTTTTCATTGAATTCTCCAGGAACTGTTTCTACAAGAGATTTTGCTAGATTATATTTTTTTAGCATTATCTTTGGGTGTGAAGACCAAAATACTTTGCTGGCATTATATTTTATGTTTCTATTAAGTAACTAAGCTGAGAGCTCAGCAGAAAGAATATTAATACACTGTCTTTTCTCATGCATGGACTTTGATTAATGTAACTACTCATTATTGATACATTCTTTTTTTCTCTCTCTATTCTCCCACATTTTTTTGTTCATATCCAGAATATTAATGTTGGGGCACTCTGTCATTACACTATTATATTGCATATATTATAATTAGGGCTGGGTATCGGTTGAAAATTCAGCATTGCGATATACTGTGATATTTGAAACTGTATTGCGATATGTATTGCAATATTTTTAATAATAGTTAAAATGCTCTTTTCTTATTTTATTAACTTCCATTCATAAGCAGAGTGTATAAAACTTCTATAAATACGCTGTTACAAAAAAAGATTCTAGTTGATTTCACTACAGTTTGGCAACGAAATGCAACCATTCAACAGAAACCTTTACTGTTTGGTACTGTTAGGCACGATTGAAAATGTTTCTGACATCTTAAATTTCATATTTTACATCATTTATCTGAAGCCCAATCATTTTGCAGGTATATCGGTACTGGAAACACGTAAAGCAATACGATGTTTTGTTAACGAATTGCAATATACCCGAATATTGATATTATTGCGCAGCCCTAATTATAATTCACAGTCAAAGAACAAGTACACTAAAACATATATGGGTATGTGTACATGTATTGACCTTTTTTGATATATGAATTAACACTGAGACATTGCTTACTTGCTAAATACTGTAGAGGTTCTCAGACGTATTGATACATGAAGATATGTATACATGTAAGTATAATATGTAAACTTTTTCAAAAATTTTTTGACATTTGAATATAAGTACACTGTAAATTACAAAAAAAGAATGAGGGTGAACAAGGTAAGAACAGTCCCCTGCTCTGAGATAAGATATTTCTTATTTCAAAAAGTTCATGGAAAAGTTATTTCTTTTTGAAAATTGTGTCAATATCATCTTTCACACATTTTTTCTCTTTATTTTATTGAATAACTTAATGCTAAAAATAATTAATTTTAAGGTATGTGAAAAGATAAGGAAAAAAAGATATCTCCTCACAAATGAATCGAGCAAAGCTCACAGAAAGGCTTGATTTTAACACATTAACCACAACGCTACCAAGTACTATCACTGAAGAGTGTCGGAGTGGTTAAACAAACGAGTTTTTATAAGCATGTCGATCATCTACAGAAATGTTCCATTTTCATAATGAATGGGTTCAGACTCCGTGTTTTGGAAACATAAAGTAAATTTTACATTTATTCTTCCGATATTTAAACTTAAGTGTATAATGGAGACCTAACGCATTCATATTCAAAAATCATTTACATATTTTTTTTAGCTACAATAAATCCATTTTTCACTAAATATGTTAAACTGTCACCTTAAAAAAAACAAATCATCAATCAATACATGTATGCTATTCAATAAAATTAATGATGCAAATGCATTGAAGATGACATTACTGACATCATATCTTTTGAAAATATATGTATAACTTTTCCATGAACTTTGAAAATTGAGAAATAAATTGTCTTGGGGGGGGGTTATCCTCGCTTCGTACATCCCCATTCTTTACATGATTCTCTAGATTTAAATCCATTAACCGATCACATTAGCCACAAGCCCTTAAATTTGATCGAAAAAGTTATGTTGTGGTTGATCACATCATCAATACAGAAGTATATGACAGGACAACAAAAATCCCTGCTGTTACATGTACGAGTCCAGTTTGATTGGGGTCTGACACTTGGATTAAATAGAATAGATTAAGTCTGTGTATCACTTTTCATCACTTGGAATTTCTAAACAAGACAGGAAACATTGAGAAGATTTAGTAAAACATATTTAGCTTCTCAAATGTGTTCTTGTATAGCTGCTTTTTTAGGGTTCACCTGTGAACATGTCACTTTGAAAATAAATCATGTAAATATTTTAAGATGCAGTAGTTTAACTATGATTATTCAAACTAAACGTAAAATACTTATCTAATAAAGAAAAACTGATGATTGATCTACAGACATGCAGACAAACGGATATGGTTCCCTGAAACCTTTCTTCCTCATATTTCTTTTTAGCTTGAATATAAGATTTTATCTTTAAGATGATGTCTGGTATTTTATTGCGATATTTGCACAACATTTACATTTTATTATATTTCATGGAACATTAAAGCCGAAGAAACTTACAGTACTTTCAGTTTCGTTTTGTGCCTAGACATTCATTTTATACAAAACTTGACTTTTCTTGATGATTATATAATGATTAACAATCCAAAGATTGACGAAATACACATATCCTTTCAAATGCTGAATCCTAATATTATTTGGACCAAAAGTTAATCAATGTTTTATAAAATGATTTGTTTTTATTTGTAAATGTCTGTGATGTTTTTATGCCCCTGTATCGTAGATTTGGGGATATATAGTTTTTGCCCTGTCCTTCCGTCTAGCTGTCTGTCTGTCTGTTTGTCTGTTTCTCCGCAAAAACTTTAACATTGCTTATAACTTTTGATTGGTTGGAGCTATGGCTTTCATATTTCACATAGGTATTCCTTGTGACAAGACCTTTCTTTGGGTACCATCATCTTTGACCTTTTTACCTTGAACTTGGAGTTTGACCCAGTTTTACAAAATTTTACCCAACTTTAACCTTGGCCATAACTTTTGAACGGTTGGTGCTAGGGCTTTCATACTTCACATGTTTAATCCTTGTGGCAAGACCTTTCGTTGGATACCAGCAACTTTGACCATTTGACCTTGATCTTGGAGTTTGACTTACTTTTGAGAAACTTTAACATTGGCTATAATTTTTGAACGGTTGGCGCTAGGACTTTCATACTTCACATATGTAATTCTTGTGACAAGACCTTTCTTATGATATCAACAACTTTGACCCTTTGACATACGAGTTTGACCTGCTTTTGAAAAACTTTAACATTGGCCATATCTTTTGAAAGGATGGTGCTAGGGCTTTCATTCTTCACAGATGTAATCCTTGTAACAAAACCTTCATTTGGAT